TCATTCTAGAATGAAAGATGAAAATTTATATTTATTTTCTAATTTTTATAGTGGTTACAAAATCGATCAAATCTGCCGAATTCGTACAGAGATTTGTTTGTGAAAATAACATTAAAATATAAAGTTTTGTCCTTATGAAACATTTGATAACTATAAAGATTTTATAATTATAAAGATTTTGCATGTGAAATTAAAAAAATGTTCTGATTCATAAAAGTATTTTTAATCTTAAAATGAAAATTACTTTGCATGTTGCCTATCCAACATGCAAAATAAAAAAAAAGGCATGAGAAAACATTGCTTAACAATCCTTAAGACTTAATAATAAAAAATTTATATTTTGCATATGAAAGCATTGTAATGTTTATGGATAATCTGCCAAATTTTGTTAACATGCACTTATGCACTTACTTATTTAAAAGTTATAGCATAAAAGCTATAACAAGCACAAAATGGTTACGAGGTTGGAACTGAGCTTGTGCTGAAAGTGTTAAAAGAAGGGAGGGGGGGTGCAAGAAACCATATTTATTAAGGGGGGGACATGGATGACAAAGTTTGGGAAATACTGGTCTAGATTTTTATTATTTTGTTGTATCTAAAAATCTGAATTTTAAAATTTTGAATTTAAGATAGTTAGAAAAAAAATGTCAAATAAGAATGTCTTTTTCACACAAGTAAAAAAAAGAAAAAAGAAACCACTATAAAATTAGGGGGAAAAAACTTGTAATTTGCTTGAAAAGGTTTCAAATTCCTGAAATTGGGCCATCAGTTACTTCTGTATTTTTGAAACGTCTATTTCTTTTGTGAAGAAAGTGATCAATATAAAACATTTTGTTGGAGGAAACTTGTTTCTACATATGTTTCAGTGTAGATAACTTTTTAATACAAACAAATTGAATCTACATTCTTGTTTATCATGCCTACAAACTGATAATTATACTTTATCTTTTAACAACATTTTTATTATAATTTTTTTGTCTATTGATTTTCAGTATTTTTTCTTATAATAATTGGTTAGTATTAAATTAAAAAAATAATTATATAAAATTGAGAAAAGCTTTAACTCTCTGAATAATGTTAATGTTGCAATATTCTAGCACTATAAGACTTCTGTCAGTAGATTTGTAGGTAAATTTGATGTCCTAGATATCAATCAGTCTGTAAAATTAATAACCTCCATTAGCAGTGTTGAAAATGAAAGTTAAACATCAAAAACTATTTATCCACTTTTTAGAACTTGTTTTAGACTTAGCCAATTTACATTTTTCAGTGGAATAATTCATGTCTATAATATTACTCTTTATCATATTAATACCTCTGTTGACATCTTTTTTTGTGGAATAAGCCATTTTGTTTTCATGCATCATTTTTCTTACTTTTATCTTTAAAGTATTTAATATTTAATAATACTTTCTTTAAACAAAAGTAAATTGATGACATTATTCTTACTTTTACAGTATGTTTAGCCTTTAAAGTATTTCATATTTAATAATACTTCATTTAAAAACAAGTAAATTGAGTGACACGTCCCCAATTTACAATAATTCAATTCATTTTATTTTTGAAGACTTATAAAAAAGAAGAAGTGAAGATGTGGAAAGATCTTGTGAATTCTGTTATCCTGTTGTGTCGACGAGCTACACAAACAGTAGTACCTGTTTTGTGTAGCTCTTCCCCTGAGGGACATCTTCCAATGGATACTGGTAAGTTCAACTTGCAATGGTAATTTTTTTTTTATTAAACTAAGGCGATCTTTGATTATAAATTGGAATTCTAGAAGAAAGGGTGGACAATCTCACTTGGTGTTCTCT